TTTCTAAGCTTGTGAATATTTTTCATCATCTCATTAGTTTTGGAATTGAATACGCCCACGGCATCTAACAGAAGGTCCAGATTATGGCCTTAATATCATCAAGGATATTGTATGAGCGAAGCCAAGCGTGCCTTCTAATAGCAATGGATGTAGCCATTGCCTTAGACGCCATATCTGAGGTGTGTATAGCAGCCACTCTATGTTGTTTAGCGAGAGTTGTTGCCTCCGAATATGTATTTAGCAGATCTGGTTTGGTCATTTCAGATGCTGCCTGCAGTGTTGGTAGTATCTTGTCCCAAGGTGTCTTTGGTACACACCCATGGCTGCTTGGTAATTGGAGATGCGTATGAGAAGGGATGTAAAGGAATATAATGTTCTCCCAAGGACATCAAGTTTGAGTCCCTCTCTGTTAGTTGGGGTCATAGATGATTTATTGCGTGTGCTGTATTGTGTGGATTCCACCGCAATTGAGTTAGGTGCCGGGTGTTTAAGCAAGAAGTGGCATCTGTGCCATGTGTTTTATAATGGTGTACCACCCTATGTGGAGTTTGAAGAGATGAGGGTGGCTTGTCCCACGATTTTTTAACGAGCTGTAGCATAGCCAGCATTAAACTTAAGCTGGGTGGTGGGGTCTTATCTTGCTCCAACTCATGAAATACCAAGTCATTTTCTTGTTGAGAAGGTTGCTGACTATCAAGTTGAAAAACTTTCGCCATTCGGAGTACAGTGGTGCCTCGAAAGCGAGCGCCTCTATTAACGAAAAAACCGAATAGCGATGTGGTTTTCGGGGCATTTTTAAGCCTTGATTAGCGATTTTTCCTATGGGCGATTATCGGATAGTGATCTTCAATGGTTTCAATGCATTTCAATGGAGGAACCGCGGTTCGTGTTCGCTACTTTAAAAGGGTTTAAAGTTAAGGTTTTCTGTCTGAAATGTTTGAGATCGTAAAGTGCAGTTAATAAACCCTTTGTTAACCCAATTTGACCTTGTTCTGACTCTTTGTTAATTTGTGGTTGATTTCCCCCCCCCCTCTTGAGATGCACTGAATAGGTTTCAATGCATTTCAATGGAGGAACCGCTCTTTGTGTTCGCTACTTTTAAAGGGTTTAAAGTTAAGGTTTAGGGTTTGAAATGTTTGAGATCGTAAAGTGCAGTTAATAAACCCTGTGTTAACCCAATTTCACCTTGTTCTGACTCTTTGTTAATTTGTGGTTGATTCCCCCACCTTGAGATGCATTGAATAGGGTTCAATGCATTTCAATGGAGGAACCGCTCTTCGTGTTTGCTACTTTTAAAGGGTTTAAAGTTAAGGTTTTCTGTTTGAAATGTTTGAGATCATAAAGTGCAGTTAATAAACCCTGTGTTAACCCAATTTGACTTTGTTCTGACTCTTTGTTAATTTGTGGTTGATTCCCCCCCCCTTGAGATGCATTGAATGGGGTTCAATGCATTTCAATGGGGGAACCGCGTTTTGAATAGCGAGGTTTCCTATGGAGATTTTCCATTAAGGACGGCAATTCATTCCAATTGGAATGGATTAGCCGGCTTTCAATGCATTTCAATGGGAAACCATATTTCGAATAGCGAAGTTTTTGAATAGCGATTTTTTTTTACGGAACACATTAACCTCGCTATCAAGGCACCACTGTATAAATTGTGCGTACAAAGTGTAATCTTTGGAGAGTGATGGAAGATGATTGTCAAGTGTATCTGAAATCACAGTGGGATGCTGTATTGTTGAGTCTTCCGACAATGATGAATCTTTATTTCATGATGATGTTGAAAGTACAGAGGGAGAGCAGTGTGGTCTAACTCTATGGATTCTTGGTATGGGTCGTAATCCGGTATTGTAGCCTGGCTCGGTATCTGGGAGGTCCTGAGTATACAGTGGTCATATCGACGGTGGGTTGTCGTCTCATCTGTTTGTATTTCTTCATCGGTGCAGTGGCTACTGGGGCTGCAGGTCTTTTACGCGATGGTTTATTTGGATGCTGTGGGAAATCATGGTGTCATCTGTAACGATCCGGGGAAGATGATCTAGAGGGTGAGTGCCATGGAGGCAGTGGATATCTGGCTCGCCTGAGGCCATCATAGTATCCATATTCCTGGTATCTGTACGGGTAATAGTGGTGCCTATAGTAAGGATGGTGTTTGGTATGGCAGCAATGCTCTCCATGTTGGTGTAATTGTTGGACTGGAGAGGTATGTCTCCACTTTTCTTTACACTTTCTAGGCGAATGGTCAGGAGACTCTGATTCCGATTCATGATGAGTAATTGCCCACCCTGATGATTGAGGGCTATAAACGGCCATGGCTGGGCTGGATGGTATATCAGCCTGAGATTGACCTGAACTTGGCGAAAAGCTGAGAACTGCATGTGCTGCTTGTGCTGATGCAAGAGTGTGGTTGTCTCTTATCTGAGAAGACTGGTGCTTCTCGAGACAACTCCTCCAATACCGGTGAAGGCAATGGAGCTGGTGGAGGTGCTATGGTAGTTGTCTTAGACATTTTCTTTTGTTTCTTTGCCTTACCCTATCCTTTTTCTTCTTTGTAGGGTCATCTGAACAGGACTGGGCTCTAGCTGTAGAGGTCGAGTTAGATTTGTATGACTTCTGTGACTCTTTGGATTTACTTGGTACCGACATCACACTTGTTATGGAGTGAGTAGCTGGGCTAGACATGGCTCTAGTTGTTTCAGACTGATTTGGTTGGTCTGCCGATAGTGAAGCTCCCACTTCCATGGCTGGGTTAAGGGTCCTTTCGTACAGGTATGATCTAAGGCGTTGGAGTCTTAGCTTGATCGCGGGTTTAGCTAGCTTTTTACAATCGGGACACGATTGGGTTTGATGGAATTCTCCCAGGCAGAATAAACATTTATTGTGCCCGTCAGTAAGAGGTATTTTCTTTAGGCAAAAAGTGCACCTCTTGAATCCCGGAGGGGCCATAAAATAGGGAAAAGATGGGGGAAAGTGCTTTGGGGGATAAAAAACACAGGAAAGCGAAAAACAGTTGTAAAGGGGGGAAATAAATGATCAATAACTACAGGAAACAACTTTAGGCATCCTTCAGTCTCGAAAGACTATGGTAGCATGCTCTGTATGGAGGGCTTGGAACAGCGCCTAGTGTGGCTGAGAAGGCCAATTCGAGAGTGACAGTCCCTTCCACACTGAAGACAAACCCAGTCTGTCCCCTGTCCGGCTCCCTGGTTTTGCTGCTTATGTGACTTCCTCTTTGCCTCGGCCTGCTGGGCAAGGGTCTCTTCAAATTGGGAGAGGCCGTGATGCACTGCCTGCCTCCAGGCTGAACGCTCAGATGTCAGGGTTTCCCATCTGTTGAGGTCTATTCCTAAGGCCTTCAGATCTCACTTGCAGATGTCCTTGTATCGCAGTTGTGGTCTCCCTCTGGGGCGCTTTCCCTGCACTAATTCTCCATAGAGGAGATCCTTTGGAATCCGACCATCAGCCATTCTCACGATGTGCCCAAGCCAACGTAGATGTCGCTGTTTCAGTAATGTATTCATGCTGAAAATTCCAGCTCGTTCTAGGACTGCTCTGTTTGGAACTTTGTCCTGCCAGGTGATGCCAAAAATCCGTCGGAGGCAACGCATATGGAAGGTGTTCAGCTTCCTCTCCTACCGTGCACAAAGGGTCCAGGACTCACTGCAGTACAGGAGTGTGCTTAGAACACAGGCTCTATAAACCTGGATCTTCGTATGTGTCGTCAGCTTCTTATTGAGCCATACTCTCTTTGTGAGTCTAGAGAACATGGTGGCTGCTTTGCCAATGCGTTTATCCAGCTCGACATCTAGAGAGAGGGTGTCAGAGATGGTTGAGCCGAGGTACACAAAGTCATGAACAACCTCCAATTCTTGTGTGGAGATGGTAATAGAGGGAGGTGAGTCTAATGATCTTAATATGGTAATTATTGTGAGGAAATAATTTGACGAAAAAATAGCTCTACTTTCCTTTCTCTATCGCTCTAGTGTTCCTAGCATCCTGACCTTGCAGCAGAAAAAAAGCAACTGGGGGGAAGATCAGAGGGGTGGAACTTGCACTCCAGGGGGAGTATCTTATTGTCAAATCTTTTTGAAGCTCAAGAAACTTCCGAAACGTCTTGCGCAGGTGCAGAAGAAACCCACTAATAAAGCATCCTCACTAACACTCTCTTTTCTTCTGAATTCCAGCTGTGTCCCTTTCTGTTCTTGTAATCTCTGTGCATCAGTCATGTATCTTCCCCATAAATACAAACTTCAATCTCTCCCATTAAAATGATTTTGCTCAACAAACAATACCTGTGTGTAGAACTACTCTAATGAATGCTGAGCTATTATCTAAAATTGGCAAGGGGAGAACAAGATCTTGATCTGATCGTTAAGCAGATTTTCAAATCTTGTTTCTTCTAAAATAAAAAAGGTAGAAGAGATTAAGACAGCCATTAACAAGATATGGACAGAACTAACAAAAATCCATCATACTTTATAAAAAAAACTCTAAAGGTACACAAATACATCAGTAATGAAAACAGAGGGGTAATATCATGGCCTAACACCACAACAGTATTAAGTATTTGCCCTGCTATTTGCAGGATTGTCTGAGTTTTTTTTTTCTTTTGGAAAACAGAGAAGAGGTAAACAGAATGAAGTGCAGGGAGTAGAAAGATGGCGTCCAGACTTTCTTGTACAGTGAACAGCGGGAGATGGTATAAATGTGGGAGATGGCATAAATGCATACCCATGCACTACATCCAAACTACATCCTGCCATTATTAGCCTGATTAGCAACAAGTTTATGGGGATCAGTCTCAAGAATGACAGATGATGAAATCCTGTTGCCACAGCAATGACATTCTTCTCTTGATTCTTATTTGACAAATGGGAACATCATTTGATATTACTCAGTGAGCTATATCCCTCTCTGGAATCTTCAGTAGTGATACATGTTGAAAATATAATTCATGCAATACAAATTAAGTCAAATTACAGTAGCACTATAACACTCACCTGTTTCAATGCCTGTATTTTGTCATCTTTAACTTTTAAAATCTCTAAAACCTTTCTGTCCTTGAGTTCAGATTTCTGCTTTTCTCTAGAAACAACAAAAATATATTGATACTTATTACTCATAATTTGCCGCTAATCATTTGAATTTTTCATGTCCTGATAATGAATGTCATTTAAAGCATGGGAAATTAAATTATCTGGGGCCGACAGCCCTTGCAAAATTAATCATGGAACATATGGCAAATGACAGCAAATTTTACCAGTAAACAACAAAACAACTTTATTTTAAGTAAAATTGTATTTATGATGCCAAGATTTGACATCCTTATCTTAAAGAGAGAGGTCTGTGGGATATCGTCCAAAAAAAGCTGAACCTCTTTGCTCCCCTGTTATAGATATCAAACCATTGTTTCATGCTGGAGATACAGGAAGATTAGAATATTGAAGAACATCAGTATTTTCCCATTGGAATCCTCAAGAGGTATATTGTGTTAAAATTGTCAACAGCTGGTAGAATTGGGGCAGAGATGTTCCCTAATGATTTCTTACCCTGCATCTCCCCAATCAAGTTCCAGATGTGGAAAAAAATTACAATGTATCATAACTTCAACTAAGGCAATAATGTAGCAACACAAGTAGCAAAAAAGTTTCCACTTTTCAGCAATGCTTGACAATTTTGCTGGTTCGTTTTTTGGTCAGTTGTTTAGTTCCTGAATAAATCACGCGGTGATAAGACTACTAGTGTTTTGATTTAGTTACAAACAGTTTGGAGAAGTAACATTTTCAATATGAAGACTGCCAATCTGGTAGTTTAGATAAGTAGGGTACAAATAATTAAATTTAATTATTTGTCAAATTGGCCATAACTACATCTTGTAGAAAATTTCAATTTAACTATAGGCTAGGTGAAGAAATACTTCCTTTACCTCTTTAGTGCATGAATACTAGTGAATAAGCCCTTCACATAAAGCTTTTATATCCACCCAGTGTTGAGCAGTTTTCCACAACACATCTTTAGTAATAACACCTTTTATTTCAACTATTTCATGCCTTTGTATTTTCATTACTTTCTAAAGTAAACAGCAACAAGAGAAATATTTATTATGTATAAAGCAGTTATCAGCAATGGTTGGAGAGAAAAGAAAGTGAGAAAATGAATTATGTTATTTTTTCAAAAATAATATGGACATAAAATCTTGATTTAGTAACTAGCCATTATGACGAATAACAGGTGGAGCTGGGCCATCAAACTCTTAAATATTTGGAGTAATAAAAGGATGAAAAGTAGTAGATGGACAAAAACAGCAGACCCTTCACAGTGAAGAGAAATTACAGAAAAATAAAATGTGAATTAAAAAGAAAAAATATTCAAGGTAGACAAATCTAGAACAGACACAAAAAGCTGATCCTCTTTGAAGTGTCTTGCACTGGGACAAAAAGCACTGTAAGTGGGGGGAAACCACAGAACCTATTCTATTACATTCTCTACATGTAAGCGCATTCTTATGTGCTTACAGTGTTTTTCCAGGAGAACATGTAGTACAATAGGACGATAGCTGAAGGAAACAAGGATTAGAATCCAGTTGAATTTTTATGCTGGCGTTAAATCCAACAGAGCAAATTTCAGCAGCAAATTGCTCTTATTTAAGTAGTCAACGCTTGTTATATCTAGTTGCATGCTAAGTCACACAAATGGTATGCAAGAAGAAATGCAAGCTTCAACATAATCTCAACAGCAGAAAATTGCTGTTGAGATTCACACCAATGGACCTCAGGAGCATATAGTAGGATTCTGACCACTGTTGCTTAGGAGCCATAATATTACAACAGACTACCACAAGGTTAACATGCCACAAAAAGAAATAAACACCCAGAAAGTATTACAGTATTACATTGAATAGCCTTAAATTAACTGGAATAGGAGCCACATATTCATGGAGGGATGAGTTCCATGATCTACTGGAGTTTTGTTTACAACTTCACATGCTGTCTGTAGTTTGAGTGACTGGGAACAACTTTTCTGCTCTGAGGTGATCATCTATCTGTCCAACACTAACCAACTATTCCTTCCAGCTTTTAAAATTCGAAGAGACCCATTTCACTGCTGAGTGTTCTATCCTCTTTTTCATCAGTTGGTGGCAGTTATTTGCTGCTGTTCACCTGTTCAGTTCGTTCCTACTATATGTGCAGTAAAGAAAACAGTATACACAAGCCTGTAATTTCAAGTAACTGTAAGCAAAGAAACATTTTTATTCTTTCTCCTACAAACGACTCAGAGTGGGTTACTGAGACTTCAAGTGGCAATTGCTGAGAAAGAGGTCGACTCTGGGGAACCTCTAGCTATTCTCTGTGAGTCTCTGTACTTACACTGTAGAAATTCAAAACTCCGCAGCATAATAATCTACTATGAACTACAGATATCAGGGAACCCTGTATACTGTACAAGGAGTGGGACAAAAGTCATAAGGGGGTGCCCCCGTATGTTGTATATAGGGCTGTGGCAAACTGAAGATAAGTGAAACTTCAGATACCAATTCTGCGGATAGGGAGCCCCTACTGTAATGACATACGCAAGGGGGAGAGCAGGCTATTCCCCCTAGCTCTGAATGCCACGTCATCACCTCTTTCCTACTCCTTCCCGTACTCCATCCCAAGCAGAATTAGTATTTTGCTTTCTCAAATACACAAATGGCCTGAATGCAATCCAATTCTTTCCTAAGCCCCACCACCACTACAGTTTTTCATGCATATCAAACATTAGGCCTGGTCACTGTTTGCTTAGGCACTCCCTCTTCTGCTATAATGCAAGACCAGCAGGGAGGGAGGGAGGGCCAACTAGGCTCCTTCCTGTATTAAGACTATGAATGACCTGAGTGGCATGAGGCGAGTGGACTGGCCAGTTCTGGGGGAAGGGAGTGGGCCTCCATGCCTACGATTCATATTCGTATCCCCAGGATACAAATATGAATAACCACATTTAGCAAGAACATATCCTCATTCCATACAACAATTTTAAAAATAAAACAGATACCAGATTTATTTTTTGCTGTTCTTTTAAAAACTGAATTCTCTTTGTAGCTTACAAACACATGATACAAACTAGAAATGTGTTTCAGCTAACAGAATACTTGTAAATAATGCATTCCAAAGTCTAAATTCTATAATTTCTACATACAGTGCATGTTAGTAGAAGACTTCAGCGTGAATTAAAATCTGGTATGGAATTTTATCACCAGCTCCTCCTGGTGGCATAGGATAACTTGAACACTCATTACAGGGAAGCTCCCAGAAGAGCCAGGTAATATTGCTGTATACTTCAAGTTACTAGCATATCATTGAACCCAATGCTACATTTTAAGTATGATAAATGGGAGGAAATGGGGGTAGCAAGAGGTAGGCTTGTTTGTGAAAGTAAACAGCATAGTGGAAAAATGTTTGATTCTGTTAATATACACCATACATGCCTACAATACATTAAAAAGTGTTCACCCAAATCAGAAAAAAATATATTCAAGCACTGTCAAAGAGCTGATGATGATCAATGACCGAGACAAACTCCAGTTTAGCTAATTAGAACCACTGATGAGCAATAATGATGTGAGCTAAGAATATTTGCAGACTTCTTTAGGATGAAAAATGGAGTGAAGAGAGGCTGTCAATTTATACAAGTTTTAAGCTCCAATCACTTTTCCCACGAGTACCGCCTATTTTAAATGTTTAACAGAGCTGTATTTAACCACATGGATTTTTCACAGTCAGTTTTCGCCAGCCACTGAAAACCAAAAAGTCTGAGAAATTATTCTAAATCATTAACTAACAATTTTCTATTGCATACAGCCCATGCTATATATTATACAATGTGACAGGATCATATTTTCTGGGATTTGGCCCATTTTTAATGAGTTGTCAAAAATGAAATATTGGAGACGACCAGGAAGCATTTAACTACGAATGAGGTGTGAAAACAGAACCTGCTGTTTCTAAAAAACCACAAATATTTTCAAAGGTGCACTCCCGAAGTTCATAAAATACTACATTTCCTATAATAAATATGCTAAGCAGTAATGTTAAATAAAAATTATGGTCATACACACAAATAAAGATCTGTGATGCAAATCAATAAAAACTTTTGCATAACATAAAGCAAAACACAGAACAAGGCAAATGTGCTATTTCATGTTCCTGTAATAGAAATTTAACTGATAAAACAGTGACCACAACTCAATGAGTTGCCAAGAAGTAGGCCAAAAGGACTGCTTTTCTGCATATTGTTTCTTTTGAGCCCCCTCCCACTTTCAACTGAAAGTGCTTTTTAAACTCCCACAAAAAACTTTGCATTTGGGAAAACAGGAGAACGAAGAAATTATTGTGATACTACTTGGAAACTGCTGTATTCAAAAGGAGTCTAGTTCCAAAGGGTGCCTGAATTGGAGATTGGATGGACCGTATATAAGCCACTCAGAAAAAAATAGCGACAGCCTTACATCAAGTTGTACAATTGGTCCATCTTGCTCAGTAAAACAATTAGCAGAAGAGTTCCAGGATTTCAAACAGGGGTAGATCCTAGTGACTCCTAAACCAGAGAATGAATCTGGAATCTGAATTTTTCTAATCACTCCTCTGTAAACAATGAATTTTTAGGCATGGAAAATACGTTTAGGAAAAATCTATTCATCTAGGCTTCAGAATATCAGAGAGAGAAAATAAAACTGGACATAGGCCCATGTGCAAATTATAGTGATCATTGTTCACATATGGTTCCTCAGAACAAGCAGATACAACTGCTCAAGGAAAGTACAGCTGCTTCAACAAAATTATGGAGAAGAATCTCCTGCTGTGTCGCTTATTTACCCTATATATCCCTGGTCAAACTGATCTTCATTGCCTTTTCCACATTTTGGTATCAACGGCACTTTGACCTGTTCTTTCCAACACATCTGAGATATTCCACTGTATCTATCAATAGAAAGGTGTTAGCTGACTCTTCATCATACACTGGAATTTATTTTGAATCCTACAGCCTCTCAGACAGGAGGTCCCATGTATAAAACTGCATAGGATAATACATGTTAAAGTGTTAAAAGA